GTGTAGTAACCAAGGTTTTTTTTTTTTTTGTTCATACCATGGGTTTGATGTCATGGTTCTGCTATAGTTATTTTGTAGTAATACTACAGTAAACATGTGGTAACCATGACTATAGTGTAGTTTTTGAAATCGTGGTAAATTTTGTAGTTACTATGGTTTTACTGCAAATGCTGTAGTAATGGTTATTTTTGTGCTTACTATGGTTTTACTGCAACAGTCATAGTTAAACCATAGTTATTGTAGTAAAACTATGGTTGATTTTGTTTTTACTATGGATTTACTGCAAATGCTGTGGTAAAACCATGGTTAATCTCTGAAAGAGTACAAACAATTGTAAATTGATTTGAATGCTCTCATTTGTAAGTCACTTTTGATAAAAGCATCTGATAAATGTAAATGTTTTTGTATATTTAATATGTTTATTGAAAATTTTAATAAATTTGCAACCTTTATTGAGAGTGGTGTGTATTGTTTTATTATAAACCAGCGGCTGCTGCCGCGGGTGGTCCGTAACGATGAGCAAAACGCCGGTGAACCGCGCCCACGCAGAGCAGCCGGTATTTACAGCTGCATCGTCCAAACATCGGCCGGAGAGCATTTGCGATCAGAGGCCGACGTCGCGGCGACGTCTTCCCTATTAGCAAACGATCCCTGAGCGACATCGTGCCGATGGAATTTTGTACGTCGGGTCGACATCGGCCCAACGTATGTGTGCTGTCTGGGATACTTCATATGTAATGTTGGTGATTTGTTAATTGCATTTAATACACGATCAATAAAACATTTGCAATGGGTTTGTAAAAGCTTTCTTTTTTTTTACGTTTGTGTTTTTGTTGCATTTACACAGTTTTGACCAGGCAGCAGGTGACATTCAAACAGTGAATCATTTTTGTGAAGCAATTGACCCTTTGCAAAAACCCACCCTCCTTCCAAAAAAAGATAGCTTTTTTTTTTTTTTTACCCCTGCACCCATCATCCCTTTCGAAGCTCTAACTCCAGAGGGTAAACTCTTTGAAGGGATTATATGGGATTACATCTCTGCCACAAAAGGTCATATTTTGAGCGCGCAAAAGTGCGTTTTGCACGCGCGCAAACTGAGTTTTATAGAGAAAATGTTTGTCTCGCAAAGAAGAAAGTATTTTGAGCGCACGAAAATCAATTTTGCATTTAAAATAAGTTTTTTGGATGTGTGCAGACTAGTGTTGCTTTCGTCAACGAAAATTATGACTAAATATCATCGTCAACGAACCTTTATCACATGACGAAAACGAGACAAGACGCAACGTAAATGCTGGTCATGTGATGATGACTATAATTAAATGTATAATGCAATATTGTTGACGAATAAAAACGAGACTAAATGTGGTTTACAAAATAAAAACTATGCTAACATGTCTCTTCATTTTCGTTGACCAACACGAGACGAAACGAAATGTTATAACGTTATTTCGTCTCGTTTAGTCGCGTTATTATTATTATTTTGCAGTATTTCTGTTTCCTGTGTCTCACTTCAGGGGCTGCATCAGGTCGCACTGCGCAGACGCAGGCGACGTCACTTCCTCAAGCCCCACTCGCGGCATTATTTAGAAGATGACAACAAACAAAGTTAGAGAAAAAATGGCCGTGTTTATGTAGTTGCTGTTGAGACTGCTGGTTATTTGGTTCAGTAGTTGACATAATTCAGTATTGTTTGTTCTTTTCTGTCAACGAATTCCACTGTATGCAGCCAGTGCTTCCCATCCCTCGGGCCGATGACGTCACTTCTAGGGAGGCATGCCCAGGCCTGTTGTACACACCCCCGTCCCTTGACTCCACCCCATGTCAAAACAGTGCCAGAAAGCGAGACGCGCAGAAACGTGAAGCGCAAAGGGAAAAACGGTATTGCAAGCTCAAACTTGACTGAAACGCAAAATAAAAGCAGCGTTGCAAATAAATTAGTAGATATGGCCATGGAAAATATGTATTGCAAAATCATTGCTTTTGTGCTGTTTCATTTATATTTTGCAATTCTTTATTTTTGTTTGCAAAACTTATTTTTTTCTCGCAATACTTCATTTTCTTTTGCAATTCTTTATTTTTGTTTGCAAAAAAACATTTATTTTTTCTCAATACTTTTATTTTCGTTTGCAAAACTTTATTTTCGTTTGCAAAACTTTATTTTCTTTTGCAAAACTTTATTTTATTTTTCATATATATGTGGCATTGTATTGACTCCATAGTTTGTGAATCTTTTGATTCAGAATGGAACTTCGGCACATGTATCGCGAATCGTGATTCAGATCGGAACTTCGAGCACGTACCGCAAATCAATTGATTAGATCGAAACTTTTGAGTGAGTTCGTGAATCTTTTGATTCAGATCGGGACTTTGGAGCGCGTATCGTTCTTTCTTTCTTTCTTAAACAGTACAAAACCATTAAGGCAGTACAGTTATGAAAATAAAACAAAGAAAAAAAGAGAAAAAAGATACAAATCCCTTAAGAAAAAAAAGTATTGAATACCATTTGTATAATATAATAAAGAGAGGTTTAGAGCCAGTAAATTTTTAAAATCTTAAAAGGTTTAAGATCTTTAAACCCACTGCTGTAATGTTGTTGGTTTTACATAATCAAAATGGTGTAATTATTTTCTGATGAATATGCTAACATAAAAAAGCTCTCTTTATGAATGTTAGCTACCATAAATAAACCCTTTAGATGACACAAAGCTGTGGTCAAAAATCTATCAATGCAAAAATGCTCTTATGCCCCTACCTAACCCTTACGAAAAAGAAGTTTATTAAAGTGTGCTATTAGTATACTTCTTTTAAACTAAAAAATAGGAAAGTATACTTTTAGTCTACTTTTTCTGTACTTCTCAGAAATGGGCTTTATGTTCTTCTCAGAAATATACTTAAAATTACATTTAAGTATATTTGACTTATACTTGAAAAAGTCTAAATATATTTGAGCTACTGTATACTTGTGCTCCTAGAATCCGCGTTTTGATTGTTATACGATAGGGGGTGCTAGTAACTTAATAAAATAAACTTGAAGTATACTACTTTTTGGTAAGGGAAGTCAAAATCAAACCTACATCCTAGGCTAAAAGAAGAGTTAAATAAGAACTAAAAAGAACAAACAATTTGAACATTTAAACACTGACCTCACAAGGCTAAATAATGGTACAGCAAGCAATTTCTGAGATACACTGTAGATATTTGAAATCAACACACAAACACACCCAGACAGACAGGATATGAATAAAGCATGAAAGATCTTTATTGTTGAATTACATTAGTTTCATATCAAAGTACTTGATTATTTTTTTAACTCTAAATGACCATTTCATTTTGTAAATATTCTTATATCCTCAAGACAACTGAGAGCTTTAGCAGGATTTACAATGACAGTGATTTTCTACTTTGGTTTGACCACAAGATCAGCGACTCCGTGCACTTGAGTGAGCAGACGGCAGTCCATCGATGCCAGGAGCTTCTGAGAGCCGGCGACAGTGGGAACAAACTTCTCTGTCAGTGTAACCGTCGCAAGTTTATCCACATCACTGAGAAACACAACTAGATTATAAACTGTCTGGAAGCTTTTCACTCTTTAAATACAGTTTATCATAGTACAGCTCACACACATTAAGCAAATTTGCATGAAGTGCATGCACAT